ACGGATCTATTTTGGTTATTGTTGCTGTGTTACGCTATTTGGATCTTTATTCGGATTTTGGAGAGGAGATTCAAGGTTTGTTTGTTGAGAATTTTCGAAATTCCATTGCTGGTCTTGCGAAGAACGAATCTAGTAGTTTGAAACCTCAAGTTGTTGCTTACCTAGTACTAAAACTCAGTTGGGTATTGAAATTTAGACTAGAAAATGCGATAAACATTTGTGTTTGAGGATCAAAACCGGAGGGACAAGCAGAGACGCCATTAAAGCTCGCTTGAAGCTTCTGGGTATATTCAGGTTTAGAATTATTTTTTTGTGAAATAAGATGTGTGTGGTTCCTAATAAACGAAAGAAGAAAGAACCTATTACATTTCTTTTCTATGGGTTCGGTATTTGTGTAGCGGCCAGTCCTATTTTTCAATAGTTTATTTTCCTACGTGGCACTAGTAATGATGTGGCGTCCTATGTGTAGGAGATTGTATTACACGCACTGGTAACATCCTGTCATGAGCGTTTATTATACACGATTTGGACTAGAGTAAATGTTCAATTGGCAAAATAATAAGTTTGGGGATCGGCATGATAAAGTGGCACAAGTATAAGTGTCATTTAGGCTATTCTGGCTTAATGAAATCTTCAATCACGTCTGATTTTGCAAGTTAACAGTTGTACCAAATTTTCTTAACTAGTGTGACAAATATTGAAATAGTCAGCTTTCTGTTATAATTCCCTCCGTAAAACAAAGAGCATATCTTGAAAGAAAGAAAATTCCATAGGCAGTCCAATGATTATTTAAAAATCCAAAAAAAAAAAAAAACGTGGTGAGAAACAGTTGAGCTACCAGTATAGCTTGAGATTAGAAACTTATACTCGGTATGAATATTTGGTGGACGAACTTTCACTTTTTGACCTCTCATTAATTTACAGCTTTTTATTCTCCACAAACGGAAACCAAGGTTTGAGCTTAATTAACTTCAAATTTAATAAGGTTGGATTTTCCAAATTCAAAGTTTTTATAAAGGGAAACTGCCGAGCAGCTAGCAGTTGGTAATTTTTACACGAAACACTACTTTAACTAGTGGTATTAAAACTCAATTTAATGAATTCATTTAAGTCATAATTAAGTGTGATATAATTAATCTAAGCACTTTAATTAGGTAAAGCTATTTAGTTGGGTTGCAAAGCTGCTAGTCAACCATTTTCACATCCACTACGTCTCCTGAAAGATTAAAAAAACGAAAAAAAAATGAAAAAAAAAAACAAAAGAAAGAAAGAAATGCTAGTCTATTTAAAGCTAGAACCCTCAAAATATCTTGAAAGTCTAGGTTGGCATGAGCATTCCATTTGCGACGGCTGTCAATTACCAATGTTGCAAACAACGACAGAGCTATGATTTTATTATAGGTGTCAAAATATAAAGAAATAAACATACGAATAAATTAAAAAAAAGTCAATGTATAATAACATATACATATAAAAAAATATTTATCTAACTACACAATATAATTTTTTTGATAAAAGGTGTCTTGGATAAGGTAGCTTCGCCACTATCTGCAAAACTTGACACATAGGAGGGCCAAAAATAAAATGATTATAAATCTAAAGAATGAAAAAAAAAAAAAAAAAAAAAAAAAAAAAGGAAAACAAAAAGACACAACGTGTGTGCATAGATAAGGAGCAATTTATAGTCAAGCTGACGAGAGAGTTGAATCAAAATCTTCGATTTGAATGTTGTGAAACACAAATCCTACTGCTTCAATATGAAGAAACTAATTATTCAATTAATGACACAGAACTATCCACGTGGCCCTAACAAATGGCCACAAATAATATGCCACGTGTATTATATAGTTTACTAATCCTGTTATCTATGCCTAAAAGTGATCCAAGTAACCTAATAATGAGGTGGATACATGACCCCACTCTAATGACTCCCACAAATTATATCTAAAAAATGTATGTAGAAAATATTAAAATAGTTGGTAGAGTTAAGTAACCAATCTTTGCATGTAAACGTGGCGTATTGCCCTAATATTCCACGTAAAATATATCCACCTTATAAAATTAATGTAAATTGGGCTTATAGCTGAATATAAATAAGGATTTTCTATCCATTAAACGGTAGTTGTAAACAGATAAACAAACTCATTCTCATATTAGAGCATAGTCAAAAATACGTTCACTTTATAAAACCTACAATCCTTATATTCACTACTCTTCTACTCAACCAAAATCATTTCTTGATTTCAAAGTTTCCTTAGGAAAAATACAAATTTAACACCAAAAAAGTTTGAAGAGTTTATAATCAGAAAGTTAAAAATGGAGTATGTTGTTTCTGAGCTCGAAGGAATTCTCTTGAAAAATCATGATCCTTTTTGTTACTTCATGTTAATGGCTTTCGAGGCATCGGGGCTAATTCGATTTGCTATATTGCTAATGTTATGGCCAATAATTCGAGTTCTCGAGCTATGTGGAAAAGGAGATGTTGGATTAAAAGTTACTATATTTGTTGCCACTGTAGGAGTAAGAATATCTGAGATTGAAGCAGTGGCTAGGGCTGTTTTACCTAAGTTTTATTTTGATGATATTAATATGGAGGCTTGGAAGATATTCAGCTCATTTGATAAGAGATTTGTGGTTACAAAAACTCCAAGAATTATGGTTGAGAGATTTGTGAAAGAACATTTACGAGCTGATGATGTTTTTGGTACTGAACTTGTTGTTAGCAAATCTGGTTTTGCCACGGGGTTTATTAAAAATGAGTTTGACTCGATTTCAGATCGGATTGCTGCACTATTTGGTGACGAACAACCTAGCTTAGGCCTTTGTAGGCCAAAATCTGATTATTCCTTCCTTTCTTTGTGCAAGGTATGTAAAGAAAAAACTACTATAGTGGTAGTAGTAATTATATTTACCAAAATTTGCTATCACAAAATGATAGAAATATGCTAAGAATTATATTGGTCACGTAAATATAGGATTTAATTTAAATACGCTAACAATATTATGATTTTTTATATTAGTTATGTAATTTAACCTATTATTGTAGATTACCCTACTTACTTTTTCGTTTTGCTAACTTTACTTATTACAGGCTGTAACATATTTATTTCATAGGTGATCTAATTGTGTAAAGTTTTTTTTACACTACAAATATATTGAAGTTCAACTCATAATTTAAGGAATATAACTTATAGTATACTGTATTTAACATGTTATAGTAAGTATCGGCCTTTATTTTGTAAGTGACTAGTCTTACTTTTTACGAAGTAATATTTTTAATGCCCTAATAGTGTTTTTTTTACACTAGAGAAGTTAAACTCATTGTTTAAAATGTTGTATTGAACAGGAACAATTACAACCACCATTCTTGAGCAGCAAAAATCAAGATCACCACCAAATTATTATCAAGCCATTACCAGTAATTTTTCATGACGGTCGTCTTGTTATTCGTCCAACACCATTTTCATCACTTCTAATCCTTCTATGGATTCCATTTGGCATTATATTGGCTATAATTCGAATTTCCATTGGCTTAATATTTCCATTTTGGATAGTTCCCTATTTAACTCCTTTATTTGGTGGAAAAATTATTGTTAAAGGAAAACCACCACCACCTGCCTCAATCACCAACTCGGGCGTGCTATTTGTATGCACTCACCGTACTCTCATGGACCCTGTCGTCCTGTCCACCGTCCTTCAACGTAAAATCCCAGCAGTAACTTACTCAATTTCCCGATTTACCGAAATTTTATCACCAATACCAACAATCGGTTTGACAAGAATTCGAGATATAGACGCACAGAGGATCAAACGTCAACTCGAAAAAGGAGATTTAGCCGTTTGTCCTGAAGGAACAACATGTAGGGAACCATTTTTATTAAGATTTAGTGCACTATTTGCAGAATTAACTGATCGAATTGTCCCAGTGGCTATGAATTATAGGGTTGGTTTTTTTCATGCAACAACAGCTAGGGGATGGAAAGCAATGGACCCAATTTTCTTTTTTATGAACCCTAGACCAGTGTACGAGGTAACATTCTTAAATCAGTTGCCAATGGAAGCCACGTGTTCATCTGGAAAAAGTCCACATGATGTTGCAAATTATGTTCAAAGGATTTTGGCTGCAACATTAGGGTTTGAGTGTACAAATTTTACAAGGAAAGATAAGTACAGAATTCTCGCTGGTAATGATGGAACTGTATCACAAAATTCCAGCACTAATTATGGGATTAAGAAATTGTTAAGCACGTTTCTACATGTGGCGAGCACAAGAAAGAAGATGATTATGAGCTTGTTTTAGTGATATATATTTTACTTTGTAACATTTAAGTTTTATTCTTTTAATTATTTTTCCCCTCCGGAAGTGTTGAATAATGTACATTATTGCTACTGCTAGTGTGTAATTATTTTACTATTTACATTAAGAGTGAGATTTTGTAAGCAACTAATTATTCAATTAATGACATATAAAATTTCCACGTGGCCCTAACAAATGGCCACAAATAATATTCCACGTGTATTATATAGTTTACTAATCCTGTCATCTATGCCTAAAAGTGATCCAAGTAACCTAATAATGAGGTGGATACATGGACCCCAATTTATATAAACACTCCCACAAATTATTTCTAAAATTTTTTTGTAGAAAGATTAAAATAGTTGGTAGAGTTAAGTAACCAATCATTGCATGTAAACGTGGCGTATAACCCTAATATTCCACGTAAATCTGTCCACCTTATAAAATTAATGCAAATTGGGCTTATAGATGAATATAAATAAGGGTTTTCTATGCATTAAACTGTAGTTGTAAACAGATAAACGAATTCATTCTCTCATTAGATCATAGTCAAAAAAAGGTTCACTTTACAAAACCTACAATCCTTATATTCACTACTCTTCTACTCAACCAAAACCATTTCTTGATTTCAAAGTTTCCTTAGAAAAAATACAAATTTAACACTAAAAAGTTTGAAGATCATCGAATACTCAGATAGTTAAAAATGGAGTCTGTTGTTTCTGAGTTCGAAGGAATTCTCTTGAAAAATCATGATCCTTTTTGTTACTTCATGTTAATGGCTTTCGAGGCGTCGGGGCTAATTCGATGTGCTCTTTTGCTTATGTTATGGCCTATAATTCGAGTTCTCGATCTATGTGTAAAAGGAGATGTTGGATTAAAACTTACTATTTTTGTTGCCATTGTAGGTATAACAATATCTGAGATTGAAGCAGTGGCTAGGGCTGTTTTACCTAAGTTTTATTTTGATGATATTAATATGGAGGCTTGGAAGATATTCAGTTCATTTGATAAGAGAGTTTTGGTTACAAAAACTCCAAGAATTATGGTGGAGAGATTTGTGAAAGAACATTCACTACAACAAATATGAAATTTAGCTACGAAACTATTAGCTACAATACAAAATTCGTCACTAATTATTCACTTTTTGTGACAAAAATTATAAGTCGTCTTTAAATATATGAACCACATACTTTTAGTGACGAAACATAAACTTTCGTAGCAAAATTTCGTCCACTAAAGTTTTCCACCAAAAAATGAGTTGGTGCCATTTATTGAGTAATATTAGCCACAAATTTAAAGTTATCGATAACGTATTGTTTTGTCACTATTGATGTGCTCAACTAGCTACGAACCACTATTTGTCTTAAAATTAGTTAAATTTTTTACACGAAAAATTTTCGTCGAAAAAAATATGTTGTTATTATAGCGACGAATTAGAATTTGTAGTTAAATATTTTAAAATTTAGCGATAAAATTTTATATTTAATTGTGACCTTAGTTTTTGTCACTAATAGTGTAAACAATTAGTGACAATTAGGCCTCATTTGTTTGCACTTAATAGAGGTCTGAATCTTAATTATTCAGATCTAAGACATTAAGTGCGTTTGTTTTAAAAGTCTGAATCTTAATTATTCAGATCTTAATCAATAAGTGTGTTTGTTTTTTTACTTCACAACCACTTAATGGGTCTGAATAGGTCTCTATGATTAAGATCTGTAGTAGAGAGTTAATTTCATTAAGATGCTATCACATATTCATTATTAACTGCCGTCACCGCCTACCATTATCAACTACCACCATGTCGCCACCACAACTACCATACTCAACCACCACCAGCATCCCCACCACCACCACCTCCACCACCACTACGCCATCATCATCCCCAATCATAACCGCCACTATTATCGACCATTACCATCCACTATCCGCACCACTCCGACCACCATATATCATTCTCACCCACAATCAATACTCATCCACCTCAATTACTACAACTGACCAGCCCATCACCATCAACAACCACAACCGACACTGCCCATTATTATAACCTACCATCACTCACCCACCACCTTTCTCAGTCACAACTACTACCACCAACCGTCATTATTAGCCGTTTGTCCTAAAGAACAACATGTAGGGAACCACTTCCATTAAGATTTAGTGCACTTTTTGCAGAATTAACTGATCGTATAGTGTCAGTGGCTATGAATTATAGAGTTCATTTTTTTCATGCAACAACAGCTAGAGGATGGAAAGCAATATTAATGGACCTAATTTTCTCTTTTATGAACCCTACACTAGTTTATGAGGTAACATTCTTAAATCAGTTGCCAATGGAAGCCACGTGTTCATCTGGGAAAAGTCCACATGATGTTGCAAATTATGTTCAAAGGATTTTGGCTGCATCATTAGGGTTTGAGTGTACAAATTTTACAAGGAAAGATACGTACAGAATTCTTGCTGGTAATGATGGAATTGTATGACAAAATTCCAGCACTAAATATGGGATTAAGAAATTGTTAAGCACGTTTCTACATGTGGCGAGCACAAGAAAGAAGATGATTATGAGCTTGTTTTAGTGATATATATTTTACTTTGTAAGATTTAAGTTTTATTATTTCAATTATCCCCCCCCCCCCCC